TAATAAGAACATGGCCACAAATAGCCTATATTAGCTATTGAAAATCATTCTCAGTTGGGCAAGTGCCAAACCACAGTTCGACTTTAGATTTCTATTTGGTTCCAACATATCAGATTCTAAGGAATCTGTGTGCAGCAGCTCTAGTTTTTTATGATTGTATTCCTATTAGACCTCTCAGTGGCATTTGGTGCTGCTAGCAGAAATGTAAACTGGTTGTCATGGACACTAAATAAATTTGTCCGTCACTCACCCACATAAAAAGACTCCTCATTCTTGGCAAGTTGGACAGCTACAGAGTAGCCCATGCTTCATCTGATTAATTTCCCGTCATAAATGGCTGATGTTGCAAACTGACTGCCTGGGTCGAATCTGTCATACAGGGATAATTTGTTTGGTCTGAATAGTGCATTTAAGAAAAATCAAATTGACAGTTTTTTAAAAAGTAGGAATTATATGTCCTACTTTTATGGATACCTTGATATCCAGCTTCTTTTGAAAAATTGGAGAATCTATCAATACCGGACTTACAATCCATCAAAGTTGAGTCATATTATCATTAGGGCCCGTATGGGAAACAAACGGCAATCTCAAGTTGGGAAATTTGAGAAAGGTTTCATAAAGGGACTGTTTACAAATGTGTGGACAGTGTGTAGGGTAATCAAAAAGGAAATATCATCCTCTGAAAATGGTAACCTCAGGGAGTGGTTGCAATCTTGAAGGAGCAGAGAGAAGGAAAAGACCTGGGACCTAGAGTCAGCACAATGTGGAGAAGCCTGCCTGACAGCCGTGACCTTGGGTGAAGGACACAGCCAGCTCATGATGATGCCTCAGAGAGAAAATGGAGGAATAAATATCCAAACCTCACTCTCCTGACCCTGTGACTGCCTGCTATTGCTCCTCATTGGCCAAATGAAACTGGAAGCTGTAAATCAAGGGAGCCTCTTGAGGCAGTCCATAAAGGTTAGTCTTGAGGGGCACAGAACATGATGGGGAAGGTTGGAGAGAGGAATCTGGAAGGCCAAATAGAAAATAGCATAATTAGCCACTCATTCCTGTGGACAGAGCTTACAGTCTACTGTTTGCCACAGTCCCCACCATTCTCTATTATCTGTACACCAAAGCGAAATATTATTTGCCATTTATCATCATGTTGGCACTGTCATGTTTCTTATAGGAAAGAACCATTTCTTTACCAATGTCTCTATCCAAAGTGAACAAGAAAAGATAGAAGTCCAAATCCTTCAAGAAAACCGAGAAAGTGTGTGTGTGTGTTTCCTTATTACTGTGTTTAATATGGAAACAAAATATACCTTGGTGTGTGTCTCTCTCCATATATCTATATGTCTATGTCTATATCTATATCTATCTATATCTATATCTATCTATATCTATATCTATCTATATAACTAATGATGGCTTTCTCCCTACAGTGTAGTTGCAGTGTAGTTCATACCAAATGAAAAAAGATGTACCACACTGTAACCTAATACTCAGATGTAGAAACTGGACCTGGCCCAGGTATTGCATTTATTTATTATTATTTTATTTTTGTTGTATTTAATCTTAAATGTTTCTGTATTACCCTCACATATCAGCTGGCAAATAACTAGGACTCAGAGCAAGTTTACCACCATCAAAGGCATGCTCATCAATAGGATCATTGCACTGACATGTTCAAAATGTATAATAGCAAACTAGCAAGCAGGGAGATGACAATAATAGTTAATAGGTGTCAGACACTGTACTAAGTGCTTAAGTATATACACCCTGTAAAGTAAGTACTTTCATATTTTATAAACGAAGATCCTGAATCTTAGCCAAATTTAGACTCTTATTTAAGGTTACATGACTTAGTTGGTAATCTCAAGGAGGAGGCAGAAAAAATGACGAACACAGTCACTAAAATGTACCCTTAAGTATGTGGCATAATTATGACAATATAAGCAGCATCAGCAAGTATTTTAAAATTAGCATAATAATGTGGTAATATTTGAGTCCTTATCATGTGTCCAGAACAATACTTAGCATTTCAGAGATGTAATAAGAAATTGTTAGGGAAAAAAATTGTAATTTGTGGTTTATTTCTGTTCAAGAAATGCTATCGTTTCAAGAAATTTAGATCTTTGACTATTCCTCATCTCTCCTATGTTTTTATTTTTCCTTCTCAGCTAGATCCTTCTCATTTACTTTTGAATAAGCTCAAGTCTTTTCTTTGAAAACAATTTCTCAAAACAAAATAAAAAATACCTCTCTTCACTTTATTTTCCCATCTGGCTATCAGTTGTATCATGTTTCTCATGTTTCTCGTTTTCTCATTTTTATATCATGTTTCTCGTTTTTACCATAAAATTTCTAGAAAGGGGTGTCCATAAAGTCTGTCTCAATTTTTTAACCTTCCATTTACCTCTCAATCCATTTATGGACACGGACTGCCAGACCCCCTTTAAGGAAGGGGGAATTGCTGCATGCAGCTAACCTTCCTACTGGGAGGAGTGCGATCTGTAGACCACCTTCAGCCGTCTGCCCCTTCAGGGTTTGCCTCAGCTTCAGTTATCCGGCACAAGGTCATGCCCTTCCCAGGGTGGCCCACATATGGTGATGAGTGAGGCAGGGGTAAAAAGGTTGGCCATTTTGTCCTGAAGGAAGATAACTCTGAAGGGCAGCATTTACTTCCAAGTCTGGTTCACGAAGATGCTAGTGGTAAGCACTACACTCATGTTAAAGTTAATTAAAAATTGATTTAAAAATTCCTTCCCTGGGAAGAAAAGTAGTCATTAATATTAATATGGAAAACAGTAGAGTTGAGCCTTTGGATACGACAACTTAATCTTTGACAATGACTGTTTTTTTCCCCCCTCTTTTTTTGCTAGTTGCAGAATCCTATCACACTGATTTTAATAAAGACTAAGAACAACGACAATAAAAAATTCATTCCCCAGAGTTGATCTGAGGAGGAAGATGTATACTTCTTCAAATCCTCAGTTGTACTGTGTTCAGTTTGGATCCTTTGGAAAGCATGACACCAAGATGGAGTGAAAGGCAATCATTTTTCTTTTTCTTTCTTTTTTTTTCTGAGAAAAATACGTGTATTAGAGAAAATGGGAGGGAGCTGGGGAAGGCTGGAAGAGCCATCCGAGAGCAATGCAGGTCTGACCCTAGGGAAGGGAAGGATGGTTCCAAAACAGTATCTCAGAGTGCTATGCAAGATAAGGAAGGTGTAGCAAGGCTGTTGAGGAGTCCTCAAACCAAAGCTTGCCACCCAAGGGCTTCTGTATCTCTCAGGCATGGGCCAGCCATGCCCAGTCATTAGCTATGCAGGAGTAGTTGGGGGAGGCCTGGTGTTGGCACAACTGTGGTGATGGATTTCAGAGTGCAGAAGCTGGGTTCTTTGGTCAGTTAAGCTCCCCATAGTTGTGGGTCTGTGAGGCACATTCTCCTGGTTACTACATGTACCCTACAATTTTAAGACAATGGGATGAGAAAAGGTAGGTAGACATAGGCTGTAGTTGGAGAGGTATCTGAATTAAAGTAAGTTTTCCTGGGCTGGCCGAGTGACTCAGTTGGTTAAGAGCGTGAGCTCTGAGCAACAAGGTCGCTGGTTTGATTCCCACATGGGCCAGTGAACTGCACCAGAGCTGAGCTGCCAACAGGTGGCAGGATGGCTCAGCTGGTGAGAGCACATGCTCCTAACAACAAGGTTTCCAGTTGGACTCCTGCATGGGATGGTGGGCTACACCCACCCACAACTAAGATTGAACATGGCACCTTGAGCTGAGTGGCTGCAAGCTGCCGACAGATGGCTGGATGGCGACTGGACTTGGAGCTGAGCTGCACCCACCACAACTCAGATTGAAGGACAACAACTTGGCTATATTTTCCTGTTGTTTTTTGAAGGGGAAAGACTTCAGTATATTTGTAAGCCTAAAGGAAGGAATCTACACAATGGGAGAAGAAGGGAGGGAAAGATGAATGGGGAGGGAATGAAAGAAGGGGGGAGAGAGAGAGAGAGAGAGAGAGAGAGAGAGAGAGGTTGGGAGATTGAGAAAGGGAACGAGAATGAATTAATTGTGGAAGAAGAAAGGCAAGAGGAAGAAAAGTTCAACATTGTTGGCAGTTGAAGGAAATTGCACTTGATTATCTCAATTTCTACTACAAAATAGGAAGACAAAGTATCAGGGGCACTGATGGAAGGTTTGGTCTTGAACAGGAGGTACCCCATCCCCTGAGACTGAAGCAAAAATAGGTACGGATGGACTCAGAGAAAGACTCTTGTAGATTGGCATCCAGTTTCGGTAGAGAAAGGCGGATGGCCTCAATTTCTTGATGAAGTCGGAGGCAAACTTATTTGCTGAAGGTATTATTTATTTGTTGCTCTTCTCACATGACAGGATTCCACACACACAGAAATAATTAGTATATTAAAATTAATACTTCAAATATTTATTTTATATTAAGGTGGTCATCTATTACATAAATCTTTATAGGTGTGCATGTCTATTTCTTGGTGTATAAACCAAAACTCTAAAACATTCCCTTGATCTAATTTGGAATTTAAAAGCTCATACTCTGTTGAATTTATACTATTTTCAATCAGAAAAAAATGTTACTGGAAATACACTGTCAGCGTATTAGGCATACTTGTTACCAAATTTAACAAACAAAAAACATTTTGGACCATGTAATATTATCTGGTATTAAAATAAATTCATCATGTGAGCATATGCAAGTTCCCCTACCAAAAAGTAGACATCAAAGTATTTCATAATTGCTGGGGGTCTTTGAGATTGGTGGCTTCTAATTTGGGCGGCCTCAGACTTCCAGAATCTGTCAATTGAGCAATAGAAGTTGATGATCTATTTTCAAATTTCAATGCATCTAATGGAAATTCCACTTTACCCATATGAAGGCTTTGAGTTCCTTTACAATTATTTGAAAATATTTCGATTCAGTGGGGCCACTCTTCAGAAGCTCTTTCCTTGGGTGCTGGGTTTTGCTTTTTGTATCATGGTGTTTAGTGTTCTTAGCATTTTAGACCCAAATGCTTCACATTTTGTTGTTAGGTTGCTTTGGGAAAGAGTATGTATGACTAGAAACACCCTAATACAAACACCGGGGTTTATTAATTTGTACTCCCTCTGCTGGCCAACTTTCCAGTAAAGTAGTTTTTTTAAAAAAAGCTCCATTGAGGTAATTGAAAAACAAAAATAGAAATAAAAATCTTTTTAAAAGTCTTCATAATGAAGAAGTGCCATAAAAGGCTAATTTCAAAGTCCATTTTGAATAATTTTAGGGAGCCCGCATTCATTTATACTCTAGTTACAATAGTACTTTAAACAGAATACAGAATTATACTGTTAGCATATGAATCTGCAAAAAGAAAACATTTTAGACTCTTCTATAGTTTTAATCTCATGTGTGCATACCAAAATGCATACATCCTTATCAAATAATTAACACATATTCACAATTAACAAATAGGGACAAACTTTATACAAAAGTTCTGTTACTACTGTAATTTTCAAAAACATTTAACCCGCCAGCAACAGAGAAGACAGTTCTGCTTTTTTAAAGACAGATAATTTGAATAGAGAATATAAGATATAATTGCAATTAGAGGAGCAAACAATAGTTTTCTTCTTGTGGGATGTTTTAAAATTTCCTTTTTTTATATTTCCTTATTGTTCTTCCCATATTTCTTTAGACAACACAGTCATTTCTTCTCAAATGATTTGCTTTTTAAAAGAAGGGCTGTCTTTTGATGATATGAAAGAAGTGCCTTCGTAATTGTAGCTGAGGCAGAAAATAGTTCTTACTATTTTTATTATAAGATATTATATCTCATTGATGCAGTCTTCCAAGATGTTGATTAAGCAAAGATATCATTTTCTATGTCCGAAATTTCAAAACTTTATAAAGATAACCTGAACTTTATAACAAATGATACTAAGTAGTTTTGTACATTCACTTGCTATGATACCCAATTAAAACCCAGACTTCATATTGGCATCAAATGAACACTGCAGAATGATCAAAGCTGAAAGCTAGTCATTGTCATAGATGCAACCTGAAAGAAAAAAAATACAAATTTAAATATAGTTCCAAGGTTGGAAATATGGGTGATTCATAGTTTCCTGGTTTAGGATTTTAAAAAATAGAATTGGCTCACTTTATGAAAAAGTAGAGGAAGGCCACATGTGGAAGGCCACATATTGATTTAACTTTTATTGCTCAGTATACAATTCCAACAAAGCTTCCGGACAAATTTATTCTCTATCAAAAATGAGTTATTTTATTTGGCACTGAATTAAATGTGCTTTTTGGTAGTCATTTTGAATGAGGTTGCATCATAAGTTTAAAAGGAGACCAAAAGGCAACATTATTAACATTATGCTTCATGTTAGTTGAGGTTAATTTTTTAGATCATAATTTAGAAATGTACAATGCTTAGAGCATATTAGTGAGCATTGTAAGTTATGAAATAAGTACCTACTTATTGGCGAAGTACACATATTTTTTTGTGGGTAAAAGCAATTCTTATTAAGATTCATACTATAACGAAAAATTCACCAAATATTTTCATACTTCTATTTTCAAAGAAAATAAATAAGAGATGCTTCCTTGATTTCTGGTCATGTGCAAAAATAAATTGTTTCTCATTATTCCAGGGCATTTATCTTTCCTCACGTTTTCAAGTGCTTCAAATTCCGATCAGATTGGAAAGCTCTAATTAATCCAGCGAGCTATTTGTAGTAGTTCTAAGAACAGTAAGTTGACTGTTCCTGTCTCCTGTAGTGGTGCCATGGGAGACTTACCATCAGCAATGTCATCGTAGATCTCTCCATCACTGTAAATGTAGAAAATAATTTTTATTAAAAAAAATCTTCTTAGCATTAAAACAATTTTAGATTAAAAGCTTAGGGATCTGATTTTATATGGCAAAGCATTTAAGGGTGAGAAGTTACATGTTATGCATTTATAAGTGGGAAGAAATATCATAGTTATTTGCATCTCCTTTCATTGGCTTAACCTAATCCTCTGTTTCATTCTGAAACAACAACAACCCTCAACTTATTCTGATTATCATAGATATAGAATAATGGAAATGTGCCTTAAGAGCACAGACCACGCCTCACTCATCTTTAGACCCACCTGTGAGCCTACCACACAGCTGAGCTTGGTAAGAAGTGTTGAACTAAGCAAACTGAAAAATCATGGTGTAGTATTCCACTGGGGGCTCTAATCCCAAACTGCAATGCATCATTTATATCTATTAATATAAGCTTTCTATTTTTACTTCAACTTCAAACATTGAATGAAAAAGGATAATATTTGACATAGGAAATGGGTGCATCACTTTTGCATGTTTTTAATTATAATTTAAAAGTATTAATTATAAAAAAACATAAATATTCATTATAAAATAAGTAGCCAAGATATGGTTAGTATGGTGATTCTTATGTTATATATGTAATTCTAAAAAATTTATGGTTATAGGCAGCATTCATAATAATAGTTCTGGCTCTTTTTACACATTTTACCTGGCCCTGAATCTGTGAAATATTCTATTCTACATACATACTGAGTGCCTCCTATGTACCAGAAGATATAAATATGAGTAAGACACTAGCTTTGATTTCAAGCGGCTTATAATTTAATGGAACAGAAAATGATATACAAGTAATTAAAACAGAAAGTATTACAAATATTAACATAGCCTTGAAATGTAGAATACAGTTTCAAAGTCTGTAAATGTTAAGGTGACTGTCACTTAGACCAGACCCACTTTTCATGACTGTACTACCTCTGTGCTTTCATCATGGTAACAGCAGCAGGCCCTTCAAATTGCTGCCAACTATGGCAGATGCTGTGAGTTCCCTATGTATTCTGTTTGGATCCTTTCTCGGAGATTGAGGGAGGGTTTGGCTAAGGGAAATTTGAAATGCAAAGAGGACAGATTTTCCTTTCATTCATTCCATAAACATTTACGAAGTATTCACTTCAATAGGTGGGAAATCAATCATTACTTAGAGAGTACAATTTCTAAATCCTCTGTTAACCATCCTTAATAATCACTGATGAAGATTATTTTTGTTTGCGACATATTCTTTCCTTGAAATTTGTATCTTTCGTAGACTAAAACCTATTGAAAAGTCCCATGGCTACCACCGTGATGTATGCTCTGATTAAAATAAAAGTATTATGATTGTTTTCTTTTGACGCTGTACTAGTTTGAAGACAGAGCACTTAACATGGATTCGTGTCTTTCTGACCGGTGTCACATTGTTTATGGGTCCAGTTTGTGAATCTTCCTTGATTTTTTTTATTATGCTGAATTCAGTAAATATTTGTATTGGTATATGTCCTGATTTGATAATGGAGTTCATTTCTTGCACTGGTTTACTTGGAACAGAATCTTATTATGTTTTGGGGGGACTCTAATAGCACGCTAATACCAGACTGTGACAATGTCTTATTCATAAAAATAGAAGAATCATTGACTACTATCTTTTTTTCTGGCATGCTTCCAAAAAAGGCAACTTAATACTCTACTATGCCTGGTGTGAGTAAAGAAAAGCTCTCAGTTAGGGGTTAAAATACAAACTGTTAACAGGAGATATTAGCACCTACTGTGTAGACTTACTAATTGATCCCTGATTAATTCAATTCAACCAACTGCTTTAATCAGCAAGTGAAATGCAAAGTATTAATGAAAGTGTTAGTGACTCTGACCTGTCTGTCTCCAATGAATATATAAAACTATGAGCTGTATAATCATGAATGAGAAGGGCTTCTTGTCTATTGAATAGTGACACTTTATGGAAACCTTCACTTCATTATGGGTACCACCATATTGATATTAGAATATTGTTCTAAAATTTATTTATGATAGGTCAGTAGATTATATTATTTAAATGACATTAATATCTTTCTTAAAGTAAAGCATAACTTTTTTTACAAGTATACAGTAGAAAATGGGCTTACTTGTCCACCAAGTAACTCCGAAGGACGTAACCATCTGTGAAAGAAAAAGGAAATAAATTTTATAAATAGTATCGACGTGAAACAGCTTTACTATTTCATTTAAGAAATTGAAATAGAACTGAATAATCAATATAATATAATAATATAATATAATATAATATATTGAATAATTGTATCTATCCTCATTTTTCTTGTGTCTACTTAACTCTCCTTCCTTTCTTCTCCTTTTCTTTCCAACTTTTCTCTTTTTCTCCTACATGTCTCTTTTACTCCCTTTACAATCTTTTCTTCATCCTCCCAAATAAAAACAAATTATTTTTCTTCTCTAAGCTACTGCTTCTTTCAAATTTTAATCTATTTCCTCAAGGTGTTACCCATATGACCCAGTTTTAGGAAGAATTTATTACACCTAGTTTCTTCAATTGCAAAAGTAGTTCATAGGTAGGTATTTTAAATACCACCATGTCTAAGATTTAACACGTAAAATTTTGTTATATTGAGTAGAGTCAGAACTGCTTTCAGATGCCATCAAACTGGTGGCTACTTGGGGGAGTGAGTATGCATTGTAAATGGTCTCTAAATAGTTCTCGTATATTCAGTGTGGAAGAGTTTCTTCAACTGTTTTTGCCATTTGACAGAGTGTCAATATTTGCCTTTTCACCTTTCATGGAACAAATCATGATTAGAAGAACACACACCAAGGATTCTAGTAATTCCACTGTTAAGTAGGAAATAGGCCATATTTTATGCACAAAAGCAAATATACTTTTTTGAGCACTTTGTCTTTGCCTTTCATAGTGCAAAATACTCCTAAGAAAAACTATGGATTATTTTTCTTAAGAAAATGTCTGCTGACATCTAATTAATATTACTAACCATTGGAATTATCAGTTTTGTGTTACTGCTTAAACTGTTGTATGCTTGAGATTACTACCATTTATTGCCTTGTCAATACAGTCTCTAAATCATTTCTTTCACTGAATCAATCTATTGGTTTTGGTTCACTCTAGTCTACTTTTGATTCTAAATCAGAGTAAATGGGTAAAAAAATTACAAACCAGGAAGCTCATAAGCAAAGCTAATACAAGTGATAATAAATGTACTTAAACATAATGATGTCTATTTAACATGCAAAAACATATTTTTAAAAAGCTAGGATCATACAACTGAAATTATAGATTAAAACTTAAGAAAATGAACTTTCCTTTGAAATATTCCAGGGTACAAAAAAATTCACCAAAATATTTTTATCAAGAAATTCATCACCCTTAAATGAAAACTGTTTATAAGAATCCTACTTGGATAAGAATCAAGGCTATCTTTGAATTCCTGTAGTATGGACATAACGAAACATGTTCCCAAATGATAAAGCATAGTAAAGTAATATTTTACTCAGAGTATGAAAAATTAGACCATTTTATACCTTCTTTTTTTCAGTCAAAGCAAAAGTAGCAAAAATTATTAATGTAAGAACATCTAAAATGAATATCTATGATCCTGGGGTAGCCTTTGATATCACAGTTCTTTCATTCATTTCATGTTAACAGACTTTAAAAAACAAGGTATACATCATAATTTAACATAATTTTTAAAGGGGGATAAGCTTATCTCTTTGAAAATTCAGTTCTCTCAAAGGAAAAAATTAGTGCAGATAGTGAGCTATTAGAACAAATTGTGGATTTTGTATCAGGTTCCAAGAACTGCAATCTGTCTTTACCTGAACTTATGTCTGGGGGCTAAAATAAAAATGTGAACAGTTCTCTACAGATAGTAATAGTCACAAACTATTTTTTTCATTACTTAAAATTGAATTTTTGAATTTTCTCTTAAAACGAATTGAAAAATAAAACATATTTTTCAATACAATAATAATTGTTCCCATGAAATATTCAGGTTTTAAGTTAATTACAAAATAATGACACATGAACTAAAGCTTTTAATAAGGGTGTTAATCTCATTCTGAGTTATTGGGGCTTTATAAAGTCTCTGAACTAAAATTAGAAGATAGAAGATTAGAGAAATGTATAACAAATTATAAAGTGTTGTCAGGGACTGGAATTATTTTAGTATCAAATATATTTCTGTGTTTTTTTTTAAACCTCTAGGAGATTAAGAGAATTAGAGATAAAAACAAAAAGAATATAGTCAACGTTTTGGGAAATTAACAGGTTTTATTCTCCTGTGCTTTTAGGTAATCTACTTTGAAAAAGTCAATTATGCTAAAATTGTGTAGAATTGGATAGAACACTAACTAAGCACTAAAACGGTGTTTTACATGACTAATTTTAATAACTTGTGATGTACAGCTTAATTATCTAACTTTCGCAAAATTAATTACAAAAAATATATTCTCTTAAATTCTCAAACACCTATTGCATTTCTTCCTATATCTTGCCTATTCAAGAGTTCTATGGAACAACTTTCTCATTTGTTGAACGTTCCATTGTTTTGTGTGTGTGATACATAAACGTCAAGACTGAATATTATTTAAGGAAATGTATCAAGGTGATGAAGTGTGGGATGGTATTGTGCTGCTCAATTTTAATTCCCTGAAATGATATAATAATTTGGGGCTCATTAGCTATAAAATTACTATTAAATAGCCTTTTTACAGGGTTAGTGACTTTTAATGCAGCATAGGTTTTGCTGTCTAACAGCTTTATAAATCTCTGCTAAAACTTTATCCTGCTAAAAGCATGATTCATGACAATGTCAAAACAAATGACTTACAATGAGTTTTTATATAATCTCTCCATTATAGTTCCTAGAGATAACTTTTTTTTTCAGTAGATAAATGCTCTTTTGCTTACATGTTCCATGTACATCCATGAAAAGAAAATGTTAATGAAACATACAAATTAAATAAATAAAAATACCTCGTGGTTTTGTACCATGTAGAATGGTTGCCATGTTTAATTAGCCCATATTATTTATGGGTGCTGGCACACCAGGGATTTTCACATATAATATAAAATTGTTATTTGGAAATCTCACATTCATAGAGCAGAACACAGTGGCTTGAAACAAATGTTTTGAATGTGTGGCAGGGTAGAGCTACTTAAGAAAGTACTCCCCACACATCCATATGTGCCAGTTAATTTCCTCCCAAAATGTTTGCTTGCTACAGTACTGAAATGTCCCAGGATTAATGATTCACCTTTCAGAGGGATGTTGTGAACATAAAATTACTAAGGAAATACAAACTCTTTTGAAAAATATCTTCAGGGCCGGCTGAGTGGTGCGATGGTTAAGAACTGGCTTGGGACGCCAGAGGGCCCCGGTTCGGATCCCACATATGAGGGCCAGTGACACTGCCCTCCACAGCTAAGATGCTGAACAACAGCTCAACCTGGAGCTGGGCTGCTGTGAGTCGCCAGTGATGGCGTAGGCTGCAGCCCCGGCTGCAGTGGGTTGCCATGGGCTACTGTATATAGCCAGCAGCCAGCGTGAGTGGCCAGCAGCCGCCGTGAGCGGCCGTCCAGAAGTTGGCGACTGATCTGCCTTCCCCAGGAAGAGTGCAATGATGGTGCCAACTTGGGCCAGTGAAGCAACGTCCTCCACAACTAGACTGAAGAACAAAACAACAGCAACTTGCCTGTTCCCCTTCCCCTGATTCCCCAGCACTTTTCCCATCCCCCCAATTCCCCAATAAAAGTCTTTAAAAAAAAAAAGAAAAATATCTTCATTCTATTCGCAAATTTTTACATTATAAAAATGATAGCTTTCATGAGTTCCTTTTTATCTCATTTGTTGTGAGCAAGTTCAGAAATAAAGTTAAATTTACTCAATTTGGCCTCATGCAGTTTAAAGACAATAAAATTATATTACACAGTTTTACCCAGGCAAATGGAACAATGTTCAATTTTAAGGGAAAATGCTCATAATAGAAAGAAAAACCAAAATGCAATGTATAATACTGAATATAAATTATTATAATAATCCTAGTTTTATAAAATATTCTCTCTATATAACTATCTATTATCTATCTATTGATCTATCATCTATTTCCAAGCCTTCAAATCAGGGTGGCGTTTCAAATTTCTGACTTAAATTTTTTTTTCTTCAGTGAGCATGTATTGCTTTAAAATTGAAAGCAAAATTACTTAAGCAAAGAAATGATCAATCGGATTTGGGAAACTCCAAAGCACCTATAAAATCCCCTTTCTTTGATGCCCAAAGGAAATGGAGAACATTTTAACCACAAATAGCTCATGTCTCATTCTATATTTTTTTGTAGAAAATTTTTCTCAAGCAACAGGAGGTGGGAAAACTTATATCTTATGAGACATTGAGTTGTGGAATATGCACAAATAGTAGGGAGAAATTCTAAACATTTGGGAATGTGCCAGGAATATATATTTAAGATTTCAGTGCCTCTGTGATATGTGCTTCACAAGTCAATGGATCAAGTGAGATAATGGCTGTGAAAGTGGCTTGTACTCCACTTCACAATGGGAAGGGATTAATGTTAATGCTTTAGCCTCTAGTTTCCACCATTACTAACCTTAGGTTTAAGTAAACTATGCTTTCTTTTCTTTGATGGATTACAGAATAATGGAGAGTAAGGAACATGTTTTGGTCACCATGGTGTTGGATATCAAATCCCTTCGCTGCTAATCAGAAAATGTAGAAATAAGGAACAGAAAGATTTAGAGTCTCCCAAATGATATACAAGAAGCGAATCACATTATTAAGGCTAAGACAGAGAACTGTTTCCTAACCAGTTAAACTATTCAACAGACATTTTTCTGTGTCCGTGTGTCAGACTTTCATCTGGTTACCCAATTGGCATCTCCAAATTGTCAAATTCAGTGCAGCAAGTCCTAAATAAGGTTCCAGGCACTGTAGAATGTTGAGAACATTTCATTAAAGCTACTCTGAAGCTTAGAGTCTAATAAGAATAATAGATTGGTAAAAAAAAACCCAAAAAACAAAACAACAACAACAACAAAAAAACAATTACAGCAACAAAAGTAGTAGCATGGTGGAGCAGGGGAGATATTAATTGTGATGGGGTGGCTGGGGAGTGGGCGT